AATATCGATCGAACAATGTGCTGCAATAGTAACTCAATAATTTTTTATATACGCACTAATCAAACCGAAATCAATAATAACTTGTCGAATTCGGCCGAATAGACTTCGGCAAATTTTTTTAGGGTGTCCCAGAATTTATGAAAACAGCTGTAATCGATTAAATATAACCGATTAACTGGATTTAACCGGGTATAATCAAAAAGTTAATAAAACCGGTTAATGAAAATAAAACCGGTTCCAACCTCTACTCTATAACGCAGCAGAGCCATTTTTTCGGGTGTTATTAGTGTATTAATATTAACTGGGATTTAAATAACTTATTATCATATAAAATAAAAAATGGCTCTGATGCGTTATAAAGCATGTTAAGAGAAATCAAAAAAGCATATTTTTATTGTATAAATGCAATGATTCGAGAGTATATAGTTAGAATTTGAAGTTTATATGTTTTATTATTTAAGACCAAAATTCGCATATACTGATGTGACGTCACTTAATTTTGATGATCGTATCACGTAAACCCTTAATCCGGATCATTTATCCGTTCATTATTGATGTAACCGTTATTGAACAAATTCCTTTTTAAAATCCTTTTGCGTTAGAGGAATTATTTGGCTACTTTAAAAACACAAATGCGTGTTCAAACTTCATACTTTTATTCGATTTATATCAAAATTATATATACACTGTATATGATCTATTTTTTTTTTCACTCATTGGATTTCATTTCTCTTGCAATGTCTAGAAAGCGAAAAATTTTATTAATACATAAGCATTAAATGATCTAACCAGAAGTAAATATATATATATATATACCTTCGGCTTTCTTCCTGACGTCATCAACATCGCCAACCATATAAAAAGCGGCTTCCGGTAGATCGTCGCATTTGCCCTCAAGAATTTCTTTAAATGAACGGATGGTATCTTTTAGCTTAACTAGGCGACCTTCATATCCAGTAAAGACTTGAGCAACAGCAAATGGCTGACTCTAAAATAGAGTAAAAACTAATTGAGATGCTGAATTATAAATGACTTGAATTTATGCTTAAAAAATGGAGCTTCGTGCTTACCAAAAATCTTTGAATTTTTCTTGCACGTTCGACAGTTTGCTATATACGAAATATGTCAATATCAAAATTATGCTACATTGTTTGAAAAAAATAATAATTCAATGAATGAACGTACTTTATCTTCTTCAGATAATTCATCCATACCCAAAATGGCGATAATATCTTGCAGAGATTTATAATCTTGGAGAATTTTTTGAACATCTGTAGCAACTCGATAATGTTCTTCACCGACGACCCTAGGGTCCAGCAAACGAGATTTTGAGTCAAGTGGATCTACTGCAGGATAGATACCAAGTTCGGCAATGGAACGGGATAAGACAGTTGTAGCATCCAAATGACTGTCATTAATTATATATATACGTATATATTAAAAAAAGAACAAAAAATAAAATAAGAATATATATTATCAAGCTGTATTTTTATAAGTTTAATAGAGATGTTGTTTTTCATTATTAAAGTATTTTAAGTTAACCTGAAAGTTGTGGCAGGAGCGGGATCTGTCAAATCATCTGCTGGCACGTATACGGCTTGAACAGAAGTAATAGAACCTTTCTTAGTTGTTGTAATTCTTTCCTGCATACCACCCATATCTGTTCAAATACCTTGAATTAGTAATGTGTGTCATTATATTATAATGAGCAACAAATAAAAATTAAGTTACCAGTACTAAAAAATATCCGATTTTAGGTATGAAAATCGAAAGTATTATATCCGTGAACGCGCACGAAAATAATTATTTCAAGCCCATAGTTGAAAAGTGTAAAAAGAAAATTAAATACCTTAACGTAGGCTGATAACCTACAGCGGAAGGAATACGACCCAATAAAGCAGACACTTCAGAACCAGCTTGAGTGAAACGGAAAATGTTATCGATAAAGAGTAAGACATCTTGACCTTCGTCGTCTCGGAAATATTCAGCAAGGGTAAGTCCAGTCAATGCGACACGGGCACGTGCACCGGGGGGTTCATTCATTTGACCGAAAACAAGAGCAGCCTTAGAATCGCCGTCAAGTTTGATTACACCAGTTTCTATCATTTCATGATACAAGTCATTCCCTTCACGAGTTCGCTCACCGACTCCAGTAAAAACTGAATAACCACCGTGAGCTTTGGCAATGTTATTAATAAGTTCTTGAATCAAGACGGTTTTTCCGACACCTGCTCCACCGAAAAGGCCAATTTTACCACCTCTAGCATAAGGTGCTAACAAGTCAACAACTTTGATACCAGTTTCTAGAACTTCAGGAACTGTTGATTGATCAATAAATTCAGGCGCTTCTGCGTGAATAGGGGCACTTTTTTTCGTTTTGATCGGTCCACGCTCGTCAATTGGTTCACCAATGACATTGATAATACGACCCAAGCACTCTGGACCGACTGGAATTTTAATTGGAGAACCAGTATCTACTACCTTTTGGCCCCGAACAAGTCCTATTAGTAAGAAGAATAGCATTTATTTATATAATAGAATGGATAATTATTAGGAGATAGAAATGTATCAAAAAGTTATTGAAAATAGCCAAAGACCTTCTGTTACATCCATAGCTATAGTTCGCACAACATTTTGTCCTAAATGTTGAGCAACCTCAAGCACAAGACGACCGCCATCTCTTTGGACTTCCAAGGAATTTAAAATAGGTGGTAAACTTTTTTCATCAAATTGGACATCAACTACAGCACCGATGACAGCTTGGACGACACCAACATTGTCACCCTTCGTTTCAGTAGCATATTTGCGGCCTAATTAAATGAATATTAAGTATCACTCTCTTTAGCACACATGAAAAAATGTGAGGGTACCTATGAAGTTATTAGCTCTTAAACCGCCAATTCTATACGAATTCCTAAAAGGTATACTACTAAACACCGGCTTTTGTCTTAAAAGCCGAGTCGCCGCACGATGAATAAAGGTCATTTTTCAATGCCGCATCCAAGTATCATCCAAAAAAAAATAGCTTTTCGAATCTTAAGGTACTTTGATGATCTTCGTACTACCATCATAAAAATTTTTTGATAATCAGTTCTGCAGTTAGATGTCATATGTTATGTACTACAAGACTACGTGAATTCAAATAAAGTATTTTCATTAATCCCGTTATAATAACTTTGATCTAAACCATGGTGAAAAATTCACTTGCCTTCGAAGCAGAAACTTTTCGTAAGATTCAACCTCAGGAATATTTACTTAGATTTATTCAAGGAAACATTAGACCTGATGGAAGATCCTTAAGCCAATTTCGCCCAACTACGGTTAATCAAAGTAGATCATTGATCTTTTACTTTACTGCCTTTAAGTTAGTCACTAATAAAACTTTATTTCAGGTTGTATAACGACTACAAATGGGTCTTCTATGGTCAGGATAGGAAACACCACCGTCGTTTGTGGTATAAAGGCTGAGGTGGCCACACCTAAATTCAATTCACCTCTAGAAGGATACTTAGGTATCATTTTAGCGAATTTGATATGATAGAATCTATCGAAAGATAAACCATTGTTTTTAACACACATTTATAGTCCCGAACATCGATCTCTCTCCCATTTGTTCTCCAAAGTTTAAACCTGGGCCACCAGGTGAACTGGCACAAGTGATAAGTGAGAATTTGAATAATTTACTAAAAAGGTGAATGCCCTAGACATTTCATACCTCTAGATATTCTCAATGAAAAAATTAATAATTTATTTATTTTAGTGCATCTGTATTAGATTTAACATCTCTTTGCATTAAAGAGGGTGTAGCTGTTTGGGTTCTTTATATAGATTTGGTTTGTGTTAATTATGATGGCAATATCTATGATGCATCAGTTATTGGAATGATAACTGCTTTAGCAAATGGTACGTTGTACGGACCTGAATATCCTATTTCTTTTGACGGGTTTAACTGTCTTTTTATATCGTTACAGTGAAACTTCCCGAAGCAACTTTTGAGGAAGCTAGTGGCTTAGTAAAGGCTACTGAAGAACTATCAGTCACACTTAAACTTCAACGAATACCATATTCAGTAACGATTGCGTTGTTTGATGGGTAAACTACTTTATTCTATTTATACAGTCAGAGCACCCTAAGTGCACTCCTTTTAGAATGTGCATTCATTTAGATAAACTAATTTTATAAGTGTCATTAAAGTGTCATTAGTAGTTTGGACTGAGGTACAAGGTGCATTTATGGGGGTATACGTTTATAAAGTGTGCATTTAGGGATTCCGACTGTATTTTAAATTATATCATTCGCATATAATAACACATCAATGATCATAGACAGCATTTATTGGTTGATCCAACTGAGGTAGAAGAGTCGATCACGAGCGAGCAAACCACTATTGTTTTCGATGAAGTAGGACAATTATGCTCAATATGGAAAGTTGGGGGGCTACCATGTTCACCAGAGCATCTAAAGCAATGCATGAATATTGCACGAGAAAGATATAAACAAATAAGCATGATTGTGAAAAACTCAATTTGAAGATTCTGAGGTTGCAACTCAACTTTTAAATTGTGGATAATACTTAGTTTTGGGTTTTGGAATTGGGATTTCTATTTTATTTGGGTTCATGACAAAACCTAAATATATATCTCATTTCAGTAAAAAGTGTCAAACTTAAAAACCGCCGATTCATTAAATAAATACACCATTTAATAATGTGAAAATTTAAGACTTCTAATTAAGTATACCCAGGTTCAAGGTTGATAAACTCTTAAAAATCGAATTTAAATTGGATTGAATGGATTGATTATCAAACAACACCTGAGACGGAGTGCAACGAAGAGTAGAGTTTAATGGCAAGGAAACGGTATATTAACATCTGATTTGATGATTGATTTCATCTTGGGATTTCTATATTTTAAGTTTAAATAGTGCAATAAGAAAATTGTAATTGGGTGTTGTGTGATCAAAGAAATATAAAATTTAAATTACTAGAAAATTTTTATTTAAACTTAATAAATTATAAAATTTAAGAAAGGAAATTGATATTTCCACACCCTTTTTTGATAATGCCCACTCATTCTAATTTTTTTAATTTTTTTAAAAACTTTGATTGAAGATATCTCGACAATAACCTGACTAAATTCGATGTGCTTTTTTTTTTTATTTTAATTTTAGAAACCTGTAGAATTCAAAGAAAAAAAAAGCTCATCGAATTTAGTCAGGTGGATGTCGAGATATCTATCAAAGTTTCACAATCTGCAGCGCGGCTTCTACTTGATAGACGTTCAAAATTTACAAAATCTTTGGTCGAGGATATCTCGACAACTACCTGATTAAATCGACGAGGTTTTTTATTTTAATTGTAGAATTCAAAGAAAAAAAACTCAATGAATTTAGTCAGATGTGCAACGCGGCTTCTATTAGGACCCCGGATAATTCTAAAAAGGGCACAATTGCTAAAACCGGACATGTTTTTATTAAATTTGAACATTTTTTTTGGCCCAAACTTTTCTAAATTCTGGTCAAATTAAAATTTAATTTTTATTTTGGCCAGAATTTAAAAAAAGTTTGGGCCGAAAATTTACTATTAGCTACGTATTATCCGGGGTCCTCTTCTATTTGATAGACGTTAAATTTACACTACTTTGATCGAAAATATCTCGACAACCACCTGACCAAATTCGATGAGCTTTTTTTTATTTTAGTTGTAGAAATCTGTAGAACTCAAAGAAAAAAAGTTTGGCAAATTTGGTCAGATAAATATCGAGATATCTGTAAAAATTAGAATGATTGGCGGGGTCAAAAAAGGGTGTGGAAATATCAGAATTCACCGGAGGGGTTTTTATACGTATAAAATAATGTAGATTAGACATTAGGTCCCGATCTTAGTCTTCGTGGGTCCTGAATAGAGTACCCAATCCTGTTTATTTAGGTGAGCGTTAAATAATATATTTTAATTAAATCAAATCTAAGTAAATTTGTTTTATAGATTTACATGTAAAATTGAAGCACATCAACTTATTTGACTAACAAGTGCAATATCCATTAGAGCATGTCTATGTCTATTACATTAATATGATAATTTAATTTTATTCTCGAACATTCTTGGGGCAAGTTTATAAGATCGTAACGTATCGTCATTACTTCACAATCAACTTTAGGAGATTAACTAATTATATGTGAAAGTTTATAAACTCGTTTAAGATTTTCTCAGAAAGCTAAACTGGTATTAAACTATAATTTAAATCTCTTCCCCACAAAACTTGTTTAATCGTATCCTAGATTATATCAAGCACGAAGCTCCATCCCAGCAATAATATCCTAATTGCAATAATAATTGGTTAACAGTAATCATTCAATCGCAAATATATAATTAATTATAATGTGTCTACTTACTTGGAATTTATTTATATTACGTAAAAACCAATCACCATAACGACGTCCAACTTTAGATTCGGCAATATGAATCATATCCTGAAATTATAAATGATGAAGTACGAGATTGAGTTCATATACCATTTACATATATCATAAATATTCATCCGAAAATAAATCACCTGCTTCAAACAGAAGTCAAGATCAGATGTTGCAACATATTCTCCCTCAAGCAATGTACCACTACTCCATTTCTGCTGACGTGATTTTTGCTTGACAATAAGTAACTGAGTCCTAATAGACAAAATCCTTATTATTATGATTTCCTTATTCCTATGTTACTACAATTCCATCGATTACCTTAGCTTATCAGGTTCTATTTCAAGGAAAGCTGCCAACTTGTCAATTCCCATGGTCGTATATAGCTTAAGATACGACCTTAGTGTTGGAATTAGGATTTGATGGCGGACTTCAGCAAGAAAAATTTTTGCATGATGATGATGAGGTTCCTATGAATTTATGAATGGTATTGTGTCATAACGAATAATTTATAATCAGCTATCGTAAATAAATAAATAATAAAAATAATAAAATATTATATCATACAATTGCTTGGATTAAGGAATTAAGATCTTCAAAATTCGGCCCAATAGGTGAAATAAATTTTGGGCATGCATACAAAAACAAATCTTCAAATGTTTGAAGCCCTTCTTCACTATAGATAATTAATTTTAAAGATAGAAAAAAAAACGCGCAAATCATTTAAAAATTTTAAAAGAACTCTTTCAATACTCACCCGCGTTGCATCTTGCTCAAATGTTCACCATATTTTTCTCTCAAGTGAGAATGTATATTTTCATCTAATCGAGTCGGGCAAAGAGCAATACAAATGGCTAATAACGCATACATCTGGTCACCCTTTTTATTAATCTAGCAATAATTATAATAATGAGAAAAGGAAGTATGAAATATAAGACAACCTGGCACGATTGATTAATATATATAACAAATAAAGAGCAAGAATAAATTTACCTGATCAAATTGGTAAGACCGCGTATGATACATTTTTGTTCTCGCAATAAATACAAGAATATGCGAAAATGCCTTTATAGCATCAGCATATCGCCGCATCATCATATACGCAAAACCAACATAATAATAAGTAGTAACATGACAGGCAGTCACACGAGCGAAAAGTGCCTATAAAAATAAAAAAGCTAAAGTATACTTTTTAAGATTTCAATAAATTATTCAACGGATGTACTTACTTTTTTATTTAATTCAATATTATCCATCATTTTAAGTGCTAAAGTATAATCGCCTAATAAACAGTGAACACGCAGGAGACCGATGATACTAAAATAACCCAACATCTTATATAAAGGGCGCGATCCATATTCACCCGCAGCTTCACTAATTAAATATATATATATATTTATATATATTATAAAGACAAAATAATATGCCAAATCTATTTTCAAGGTTATTCATTTCACTCACATCATGTCACCTCCGTGTTTGCTTACAAGCAATTGTTCGGTGATCCGAGATTTTGTTATGAGAGAATATAAGACATTCAACACACTATAACAACTCCACACCTAAATCAAGGTGTAAGTAAGATTTAAGTATATTAAACACAACACGGTTTAATATACCTGAATATTATCTCGTAGCAAAACAATCTCTTCCTCAGTTTTATTTTTAAGTCGATTACGATAATTGCAGAATGATTGAAATTGATAAATAAATTCATCAATAATGTCCCAAAGCCATTGATTTGGAAGTTCCAAAGCAACCGGACCATCGGAATCTGTACAAATATTAAATAAATAATAAATTATTAAAACTTATATACACAATCGATCTGAAATAATTAGTTTAACATTACTCAGAATATAATTGAATAGATCGCAATAATTTTCATATGAATGAAAGCGGTGTTCGATAGTTGGTGAAAGTTTTGAATATATATGCCGATAATATAATTCACGATATAAGGTTAAAAATACTTGATCTAATAAAAAACAAAAGATTAAATTAAATAATATATTAATAACTAAATAAAAAACAAATGATTTATACCATCATTAACCAATGGAGCAATAAAATCCGCTTCAGGCCAAGGCGCTTTCATGTAAAACTTTTCCGTTAATCGATTAAATGAATTTTCATATATCCCATGCAATTCGTAGACATTATTTTCAAGAACGTTACGGTGAAAATATATAATAAAATTTTTAACAACATCGGGTATCTCTTGAGCATATTGCTGTTGAAGCATTAATTGAATTTGATCTAAAAAGCCATAAATCAATAAAAATTAATACGGTTTAATTCAATTTTTTTATAATTAATCATTTAAAAGCATACCATCATCGTCCAATTCATCCTCTACACCACCATAACTAGGAGTTAGTAAATCAACCTCGTCAGAGAGGTCAACTTCGTCTTCGGCAAAACCTTCGTTATACATTGCAAGAAAATGATTTTCGATAAATCAAAAAATTTTTCGATAAAATGTAAATCTATCACGTGATAATGCTAAGTTTTATTCGTCATATGACCATAGTACATTAATTTCAAATTTTAGAAACTTACGCGTTGTAATTTTAGTCGAGTCGCAAATTTGAGGATCCCAAATTTCGGGTCGGAATACATTGAAGCATTTAACAATAGTAGTTAGCAGAGTCTATAGCAAATTATCAGCTGAGAATTGTTTAATGAACGTCTGGAACTTCATTAATACGCGCATTTTAAAGACAAAACTGTAAAAACTTTTTGTCTAACAATTTGCAATTTAATTTCATAAAATATATGTAAATTTATGATATAATCTACCAAACTATATATGTATTTTTAACTTTTGAACTTTTATTACGAGTTATCCCTTAAACCGTAAAGCGTACATATTTGTACGCTAAAATTTTTAAATACTCATTGCTTAAAATTTTATTAGGCCTTACCCCCTACTTTTTAAGCTAAAATAAAAGCGTGCTACATGCTAAATTCTAAGTAATTCCTATATCATAAAATTTCTTTCATAATGTTTCAAAAATTAGTTATTTAATTGATTTGTACTAGGATCGTAATATGACTTTGATGTCCAGATTTATTACTAAAAAAGGAACCTGCACGTGACACTTATTAAGATTCTTCCAAATCGTCACATACAGGTTTCTTTCATAATACAACTTTAAAGTTGATCATAGATTCTTCATGATCAACTTTATATGATTGATTTTTGAGGCAATGCCATAGAGATATGGCGGCCCAAAATTTGGTTCGCAAAGCATACTTCACGGGCCATTAGGTAAAGTTTTACTTGTTGTTTAGGCCATATGAAGTGTTCTACACTGCGACAGTGGAGTGTGCTGTGTGACTTGAGTTTATGAAAGTCGCCATAACCAATTAGAAGAGAGGTTTTATTAAAAAAATTTTTTTTAGAGCTCAATTTTCTTTTAAAAATTTTAGCGTACAAATTTGTACACTAAAATATACGGTTTAAGGGATAAAAGTCAGTATAAGGGTTAGTATAAGAGTCAGCATAAAGGTCAGTGTCGGGGTTAACATGAGAGTTGTTATTAGAGCTATATTCATTATGACTATTCATGATTGTTATTAAAAAAAATAGATGAGAAATAATTTACTTACAGAGGATTTATTTCAGATAAAGTTTTAATAATATTAGAGTGTTTAAAGGTATGTAGTTATTTCAAAACTTTCTTTACACAACAAAGGATAAATTTGCAACTTTTTATATGAATTCGAGACTTTATTAAGGCAATTACGTGATAGTTATAACAAGAAATATTTATGTATGCATCATTTTATTTTTCATTACATGCATTTGATAGACTTCTTCAGAAATCTTTCTTCGCATATATTTTATAGACTTTAGTATGGGATTTGTCAACCAAATCCGTGCTTCAATCAAATTCGTATATTTTGACTATTATCGATAACTCGCAATCCAGTGATTAAATCTTTATGATATTGATACATTACTGTGAGGAATTTAATGATATCAAACTCATCAAGATCAGATTACTAGGTCTCGAGTTATTGATGATAGATTAAAATATATGGATTTGATTGAAACACAAATTTTGTCAACAAATCATATAATATTTACTATACATTTTATGAGACTTAATTGCATCCGATAGTCTTTAGTAATCTTTGTATGAATTTTATAAACTTAAGCAATATTTTATTGCATGTATTTGTGTCTTTAGTAAATGCATTCGATGAGTTATAACCGCTACAACTTGTTTCATAATTTTCTTTTGCTTAATTTAGTATTTGATATTATTTTTAGAGTTTTAGCAATTCTGTAAATTTGCATTTTACTATTTTAGTATTATACTAAACGTATAAAAAGATAAGTGCATGTGCATATTTTTGTTTGTTTGTTTGTTTGTTTTTAGTTGCTTTAATATTTTAACATCACGATGATTTAGTAATTAACATTAGTACACTAACTGCTGAAATGCAAATTAAAAAATTACTGTACCTAAAAAAATGGGATTTATATTATACCTTTTTATAGAATAACCAAAGCTAAAACTAAGTCTACTTTTTTAATGATCTAATTTTAAGTAGATTATACAAGATAAGTTATGCTTATACTTACGTGCTAGTAATGTGGATTGGGACAAAATTGTATTAAAAAGTTGTCTATGCCTTTAATATCTTGCAAATAATAAAAAAATTGTTACAATGTATCAGCTAATTCTTAAGCAGTTGGTCGGTTTTGAGGTTTTACATCTAAGCATTTATCCATCAGATCCCCTGTATTGTATGCGTTCTCTACAATACTGACGAATTTTTTTTCAGTTAAAAATAGGCTTAATATTCAGGAATTCTTAATTATTATTGCAGTGTTTTTATAACAAACAATAAATATAAAGTTACTTGATTTAGTTCGTATAACTTAACCTGGATGGCCTAACCAGAGAGCCCAACAGATAGCTCAACCTGGATAGCCTAACCCAGATATTAAGATTTTTACTATCCAGATATTATCCGAATATACCTACCCAGGTAGCTGTGATTATAACCCGGATATCTGAATTATTTGCGGATAACCTGATAATACCTGATCTAGATACAAACACTACTAAAATTAATCTGTTTTCTGTCATTCTATACTAAGTGTTATTTGTAAAATATTGATAATTTTGCCTATGTATTTATCATAAACTCTAAAAAATATTAACAACCAAATATTTTATCATTTACATACCAAATCTAAACACTCTTTTCAATAAGTTGTCTGAATTTTGTTAATTGAAAATATATAAATTTAAATAAATTACTTGTAATTTTGATATATTTAAATATTTTTGAAAAGTTTGCCAAAGGTAAGGGCTATGTCATTAATCACCTGATTATTTTTTATCAAAGGCCTACTCCCCCTCTCTTAATATACAAATAGTTAGGTCCTTTATATATAATTTCAATTTTTTTTATCTCTCTTTTTCTAAAAAATCACCTGATTTTTGTTAGCTCCCTAATACTACAGTATTATAAATTCAAAATTTTCTTATTAGTTGGCACAAATACAAAAAAAAATATACAAAAACAAATTTATATTTGTTTTATACATATAGAGAGTTATATAAATATAAATTTATCTTTTTTTAAAATTTTTTTTTTTTTTTTTTTTTTTATTCTTTGACAGGTCTTGCCATGACTTGTCCTCTTAGTTTTTAGTACATTCAATTTATATACATTTATTTCTAAAACTAAATATAAGCCCGACTTCACCCAGTTGCCTATAAAGGTACCTAGGTGCAACCCATCGCACTAGCTCACAGATAAGCTAGAAAAAGTGCTCTTTTTTAAGAACTTGTCCAAAAGGGATTTACACCCTTTTGTATC